GAGGTATCTTCATTATAGGAAGCAGGAAGGAGGTAGAAAATTTCCAAAGACGACTTGCCTCCACCCTGCAACTTTACTCAGGAGTCAAGTAGTAGCAACTGTTTCAAATGTCACAAAAGAACATCCCCCACCTACTCCTTGCTTACCCGGGTGGATGGAGCTGGAGAAGAAACACAGCTGTTTTATTCTCCTATATCATCTTCTGGAAGCTTTATTATTTTATTACCATTTACCTTAAGGTCAATAATCAACTTGGAATGAGGCAAAATAGAAGTTTAATTTTTTTCATATGCAAACCAATTGACCATTTGATTTAAAAACACTTTATTTAAAAGATTTCCCTTTGTTCACTGTTCTGTGCACAGTCTCATGCAATGATTCATTTGTTGGATTATTCTCATAATGAGCTTTGGTACTAAGCCAACAAATGGACAGTTATTGGGTTGAACCTTTTGTGATATTAATATTATCTTCATTTTACTCTGAGGCAACCGAGGCTCACAGATGTTAATTAGTTTAGTGAGCAGGTTCTTCTGTACAAAGATTCACCTTATTAATGCCTTAAATGAGATATAAATTTTAAATGGATTCATCATTTAGCAGATAACAGGAAGAAGAAAGGGACTCGGGTCTGCTAAGGCACTTCTGTTAAGTTCATGTAGTGTCCATTTCTGACTCCAAAACAGTTGTTTCAGCTCCATCGTTATGTTTTCATTGCAGCCTAGTGGGAAAAGAGGAAGAACATAGAAATGCATGCCCCTTATTTTAGGAATGTTACCGGAAATCACACAATTCCACTCAGATCCTATTGTCCAAAATTCAGATATACAGTATAGCCACAGGGAGCCTGGGAAATGGAGTCTTTACTTTAGGTGGCCAGTGTCTCGCTGAAATTTTGGGTCTCTGTTACTACAGGAAAAAAGGAGAGAATGGATATTGGAACTGCTAGCCATAGTCATATACTTAGTTGCAGAATAGCCGAGATTCAGACAAAAGTCTGTGTGACTCCAGACTGTACTGCACAGCTCATGACAACTAGCTGGACCGCAAAGCTTGCCTTTGGAGAAACTTCTTGGGAGACATTTCTGTCAGAGCTTAATTCCTAGATGTCTCCCCACACATGTGTATAATTTTCTTTTATTAGAAAATATAATTATTTAACTCGATATATTTTGTTGTTGTAGCTTTCTGAAAAATGGAGCTAAATTTAGATAGTGCTATCGTGAGTAAAATAGTTTCCAAAGCCTATTTTAATCCTTCCTCCACTGACTTGACTTTGACTTCTTTCTATACCATTTCCCTCTCTCCCTTCTCTCCTTACCTCCAAGTCCCACCCCGCCCCTCCTCTCCCCTTCCCTCCCCTCCCTCTCTTCTCCTCTCCTCTCCTCTCTCCCTTTCTCTCTGCCTTTCTGGGTATGAGGAGGATGAAGGAAAGTGGTGAGTAACAAAGTTTATTTCACCTTTTAATTCTTTTTTTAACTTTTATTAATAGTTTTTATTACACAAGTAATACATATTCATTGTAGAAAAATTAGAAAACACAGAAAAGCGAAAAGAAATAATAATCACCCATAATCCCACTACCCATAAATAACTACTATTAACATTTAATGTATGTCCTTCTAGCTTTCTTATGCATATATATACATACATAGATAGATTTATATATAATTATCTTTTTTACAAATATTGTATCATACTATCCATACTGTTTTATAACATGTGTTTTATATTTAATATATATTGTGAACATTGCTGTTTATTCCCTGAAAAATTATACAGATACTACATGCTCATTGTGGAAAATTCAGAAATTACAGATATGCAAAAAGAAAATATAATTGCTCCAAATCTCACCTCTCAGAGATAATTACTGTTAAAATTTTAGCAAATAGCCTTTCAGACTCTTTAATGCACACATGAATATGTATATTTTTTAAAATGGATTTCTTCTGTAACTTCCTTTTTTTCATTTAACAATATAGCTTCTTCATTTCCCTACATATACATATGATTCTTATTTTTAATTGATGCACAGTATTCCATTGAAAGGATATACCATATTTAACCAGCCCTTTACTGTAGACATATTTACATTTTTCTATTCCCCCAAATATTGCTGCTATAAGCATCCTTTCTTGCATATATTTTTTGAATGATGAATGAATGTAACTTAGTTCATTTTTTCTGACCTTTTCGAGGAGAATTTCCCTAAAGTGGAATTACCTGGCATACATGTAAAATACATTGCCAAAATATTTTCCAGAAAGATTGACTCAATTTACACTCATGTTGACTCTGTGAGAGAATATTCATTTCCACACTTCCTTCTGTCCCTGGGCACTTTAATTCTTTATACCTTTCTGATACACAAAAAGGAATATATTACAATAATTTACATTTTTGATTACCAGTATATTCAAATAGTTTCATATTTATCATTAGTGCATTATTTAAATTTATGGTACATTGCCAGTTCGTGTCTTGGCTCAATTTTCTACTGGAAAGTTGGATATTTTTTTGAGTCATAAAATGTCATTTATTCATGAATTCATTATTCACTCATCCAATAAATGTTTTTAGTATTTGCTTTGTGTCTAGCACTGTGTTAGGTGTAGAAGATATAGCAGTAAGCAAAAGAAACATGGTTGCTGCCTTCTTGAACTTCCAGTTTAGTGGATATAGACAATTAAATAAGCAATAATGAAAAAGTGCAGTAGAAGAGAAAAGAATGAAATGGCAACATTTGGAAGGATAGGGGATTGTAAACCATGGAAACTTCTCAAAGTAGTGGAATTTAAACTCCTGATATATATTACAGGTCTACACTTTTTGTTGCATATATTTCAACTTTTGTTTTCTCTTTATCTGATTTATTTTTCATTGTATAGGAGTTTTGGATTTTCAATTGGTCAAACCCATCCATCTTTTCCTTTGTTGTTTCTTCCTTTTGTGTCATGCTTAGAAAGGCTGTTTTCCACATGAAAATTATATAAATGATCATCAGTATTGCCTGCTAGTCCTTTTATATGTTTATTTATTTGCTTTAGCATTTTAATCTTTACTGCAGTCAGAATTAGTTTTGATAAAAGTTATGAGGCATAGATATAATAATTTCCCCAAAATGGCTAACCAGTTATCTATATATGAAAGCCTAAGCGACCATCCAACCGGTATCTATGACATGCACTGACCACCAGGGGGCAGACGCTCAATGCAGGAGCTGCTGAGCTGCAGTGACTTGGCAGCTGTGGTTCTCGGGTGATGCACCTGGAACCACAGAGGGGGGAGCCCGATTCTGGGGTGCATCACCTGAGAACTGCCCTCTCTCAATCCGGGACCCCTTGCGGGATGTCAGAGAGCCGGTTTCAGCCTGATCCCCGCAGGCCAGGCTGAGGTACCCCACTGGTACATGAATCCATGCATCGAGCCTCTAGTACCAATATAATTTACTTAATAATCTAATCTTTCCTCAGGGATTTGAAATGTCATTTTTATAATGTACTCCATTCTTCTATGTTCTTGGGTTTATTTCTGGACTTTATATTTAATGCTAATGATTTATTTTGAGCCAATACCATCACTACTCTTTTTCATGCTATCGATAGTTACCTGAAACTTGAGCATTTTGCATTTGGTGACATTCTAGAATACAAAGAAATGATAGACATTGCCTAGGGATGTGTGTGGGGTGGGAAATTAATCTGGGTGATATCCCTGATCCTTTCAACTCTGAGACTTCCAGAGTCTGAAATTCATATGGGATCATTGTTAATATGGCCCATTTGTTTGCTGTCTAAGATAAATTAGATGCTTTTCTACTTGGTTTCCCCCTCTCACTCTAAAGCTCAGCTTTCAGAAGGTGGCAGTATTGCCAAACAGTAAGTATCAAATGTTACATGGAGCACCAAGGAGCCAAAGGATCTGGCAGGATTTTAGAATCTCCCCACGAGCTTTCATTAGAGGAGGCAGCAGGGCTGTGCTACTTCTAAAGTCTTCTTTGTACTCCAGAACAATGGCACACCCAGAAGTCCTCGATGTGTGCAAAACATTAGTGGACCCATATTTTAAAGTGACACCTTGGCCTTCCGGGCATTTCTTTACAAACCTTATCCAAAAGTGCCTGTGGGCCCCACCACTGACTGATGCAATGCCTAGAAATGTGGATTTAAACAATGTGACCGTGGCGGGATCTGGGTGATTTTTATTTTCTTTATACTTAGTGGTATTTTTTTAGATTTCCTGCAAAGAACATGCCTCATAATCATAAAATGAAAAAGAGAAGGCAGCATGGGGCATTAACAATATGGCGGTAAAATGGAAGATTTTGTGCCAGGAGAAGCTCACATCCTTTTCTTTTTCAAGCATGTGAGTACATGCAACAAAATGAATTCAAGGTTCTCTCCTTATCCCTAGAGATCAGCTCAGTGTTATTGCTAATCTGGAAGCAGATGCCAGCAGGAAGCTGAGACATTAGAACTCTATCTCATGGAACTACACCTGAGAAAGTCCTTTGGTGGGGAGAGGACAGGGGGACAGGCTCCTAAAGAGACGCATTGGCATATCTAATGGGAGACGGTGAATTAGCTGTTGCAACTATGAGCCAGTGTAGGTTATCAGGACTTTGAGGACTGAATTTAATTTTTAGGACCTGCCACTGAAAAAAGATCTATAAATCTTGGAGTGTGTCTAAGGGAACTACAAAACTGATCAAAGGCTGGGAAACAGGCACTATGAATAGAAGATAAAGTGGTTGCATTTATTTACCTTAGGTATGAAAAGCCTAGCTAGGGAATTAGACAAATTCCCATCTCCATGAAATGCTACTATGGTCCTCCCAATCATGGAGGTGAGACCTGAATTTATTAACAGTCTTCAGTTGTACAAAGCACAATTGCACAGAAGTTAAGTGTTACTTTTATGCTGAGACTAAGAGACTAAGGCTAGAGTGAGCACAAATTAACCAAGCAGAAGTGATTTAGGCCAGGCATTTAGAAGAACGTGCTGAACACCAAGGTTAGAGTTATCCTTTAATAACTGCGCATGGATTAGTAGGAACTAGAATGAAGCTGGGGTTTAATATAGTAGAAAGATGGGAGAGGACAGAGACGGGAGAGAGAACGTGCCAAATTAGGCTACTTCATAATCTCTAAAACAATGGACCAGGGGATAAAAATGAACTCCAGGGGATAAAAATGAACCACATTCAGGACAGGACATTAAGCTTTAATCAAACTTCATTTATGAAAACCAGGGTTTGCAGACCCAGGTAAATCTGGGAATGGTTACCCGCTTTGCAGGGGAGTACTCACCCGAGGTGTCTTTTAAATAGCATATTCCCACAACTGTTTTGTTTTACAAGTATTTGATTTAGAAAATTGTGATTTTCTCTGGTAATTTTCTCGGGTACTTCTTTATATGAAGCCAAGCATACCTATAATCATGCATCCATTACCAGTTCATTGGAACACAACTCTGACTCCACAAATAAGGCCAAGAGCCAGCTGGTGTGATCCACACAGCGACCTGCATAGCCTTTGAGATCTCTTCCAACCCTTTAATCCTTTCAACCTGGAAAACCTAGAAGACAATTCCAAAGATTATTTCCACAACACTAGATATTATGTTGAACTATATGAAATTGCCATTTCTCAGGTCAAAACAGTCGAATATCAGCTATTTCATATAATTCAGCCTAATACACTGATTATTCCAGTAATTTGTCTGTACCTGGTCTTCATCTTCACTAAAGCTAAAGGCTTTAATATGCTTAGTTTTCAGGTCAAAATATTGGTGGACATGTAAATGCCTGTGTTCATAAGTAGGAAGAAATTATAGGGTTGGGATTAAAGATGCGCTTTGAATAAACCACTTATAGGCATCTTGCTCATCCTTTTACTATACCAGACACTGGTGCCTCTTGTCTGACTTCAGGATTTTTCAGACTATGGTAAAAAGAAAAGAAGTCCAAAGGCCTGATCTGCCAACCTATGGGAAATTCTGTCTGAGAAATGGGCCAAAGAAAGAACAGTGGGGAATACAACAACATGTGTACCATGTTACAAGTTTAGTGGAGGAAGATCACAACAAAGCTGTGAGCAGAAAAACAGCACGTGGCTTCCTCCTTTCTAAAATGTAGTATTGCTTCATGTACCTGCTTTCAGAAATCTGCATAAGATAAGACACCGAGTACACATTGGAAAAGTCAAATCTGCATAGTCATCTAAAATGAGACAAGCTTAGCTGAACTGAAAAGATTTTATTAACAATGTAAAATGTTAAATATTTTTACGATCTGAGCTAATTCCAGCATGCCCTAAAGAGTTAACACTATGCTGATGCGCAGACTTCATGCTTCAGATTTCAATTAGAACAAAATGTCATAATATTCAAATTTTACATTTGAGGGTAATTGTATATGTTACTACACCATTTCCTAACTGGATTACTTCATTCTCCAAGAAGCTGAAAAAGACACCATTGGATCGAAAGGAAATTAATTGCCCATATGCATTGTACGAAGGTATTAGGATTATTGTGTATTTACAAAATTTAAACACTTTTCATATATGGTCTTTGCTGCATTATAAATTAAGAGATTTTTCTGTTGAAGCTCTTAGATTCTGACGGAATGGAAGACTAAATGTAAATGAAAGCAGAGAAAGCAATAGGTGAGGTGGTGTGTTTGCTTATATTGTTTCTAATGATATTGATAGATTGGATTTTAACACAGTTTTGCAGTTTTAAATGGATTTCTATGTTTAAAGACTTCTTCCACATAAGATAAATTGTTAACATGAGATCAGCAAGAGCTATAGGGTTACTAGTGTACGTGAAATGATTTTTCTCTGTATAATCCATTTTAAAAGACCTTTAAATAATTTAAAAATCATAATTCTGTCATGATATGGTTTGGAGCAGACATGCACAATGTCGACTTTAAAAACTTTAAAAATCCTTTTAAAAACAGCCTGCTTTTTGAATCTGTGTTGTTGTTTTTTTCCCCTTGACAGCAGCTACTTTCAAATGTAAAATCATTTAAAAGGGTAGAGAGAGGCGGATAGAAGTAATAAGGAAGCATAGAAAACATAGTCAGAAACCAATAACTGTGGTTCAGCTGTCTGGAGGTCCTCGGCGTCTGTGGTTTTTTTTTCAGGTCTCCCCTGGGGTGGGTTTCCAGGAGGAATTGTCTAGCTGGAGACGAGACAACATAGCCCAAAGAACCTTCTCTTCCGTCTTCTAACCAGAGGGTAGGAAGTTAGATTTAGAAGACTGCTGTCATCTGTGATGGGACAAAGTACATATGAGTGAGGTACAGACAAAACCTTCTTCTTGTGAATTGGCTTTAAAAATCCACCATCTTTTGAATCAAGGTTTCTTAACCTTATCACTATGGACATTTTGGACCAGATAATTCTTTGTTATTGGGGGCTGTCCTGGGCATTGTAGCATGTTTAATAGCATCATGGCCTCTACTCACTAGATGCCAGTAGCAACTCCCCCACCAGTTGTGACAATGATATGGCCAAATGTTCCCTGGGGGAGAGACAGAGAGCACACAGTTGAGAACCAGGGCTTGGAATGAAATGTAAACTGCTTAGCTGTCCCATCTTTCAGTTGGGAAAAGTATAGATTCTTGGGAAGAGCCCACGCTTTGGGGAAAGTAGGAGTCTTTTCTAAACTTGCCTCTGCTATTTACTAGCTCTGTAATTTGAACATGCAACTTAAACTCACTCAGCTTCAGTTTCCCCATCTGTCAAATAGGGTATAATATTGCTTAGATGAGGATTAAGTAAAAAAATCTATGAAAAACACTTAGCTTGGGTGGATATCTTGGTGCCTAGCAGAGAGGAAGCACTTAGTAAATAGACTCGCAGCGGTTCTCAACGTGTGGGTCGCGACCTCTGAAAATACATCCTGCATATCAGATATTTACCTTATGATTCATAACAGTAGCAAAATTACAGTTATGAAGTAGCAACGAAAATAATTTTATGGTTGGGGGTCATCACAACATGAGGAACTGTATTAAAGGGTCGCGGCATTAGGAAGGTTGAGAACCACTGAAGCTACTATTAACTATTCCCCTTTATGTAGGAAGGTCGCCTTGCCTCCACCTATTTCATGTCTCAGGAAGAAGTGTCAACTATTCCCTGTTCAGTTTTCCCCTCCCACTTTCTATAGATATCCATAACAAGGGCAAGAGAAGCTGGCCAGCTGTTGAATTCATAATGTTTTATTTGAATTTTTTCCCCATGATGACAAATCGAGGAAGAAATAAGCCTGAAAACCAAGTCTTGTTTAAGGGGCTGGGTTTTCGGAAATAGTGCAGTCCAAAGAGGGTGAGTAGAAATATCTTGCTGGGCAGAACTGGCCAGTGTGGGTCCCAGAGGCTGGAGAAGGACCATGAACAAATATGCTTTTCATTGCCAACTGGGATGGTGCTAGAACATAGTGAGACTGGAGCTACGGGCAACCCCATGGCTGTTTGGTTTTTGTTGATGACTGAGCCTAGACGCTCAGGAAACTGTCAAGAACAAAGAGTCCTGGCTTTTGGGTCCTCTTACGTAAACTGTGTCATCCCAATGCCCAGGCCTTTCTTCCCCTTTCCCAAAGGTTCATGTAAGCAAATTAGCATCACCCACCAAGTTGACAGTGTTCCTTGGAATGGTACGTACTATGTTATACATTTAGATGAAACTGAATAGCAAGTTGGAGCCAGGGAAGAAAACAGGCGCCTCCGCTGGGCACAGCAAATTAGTCAAACACAGTGCACTTTCCCTGTCCCCACAGATTAAAATCCTTTCTTAAAACTCACATTATGCTAACATGGAGGGGAAAAAAGACTCTCTTTGTCCTTTCCATGGTGAAAAATAATTCACTATAATCTGGATGTCAACATTTTGAGAGCTGAAAACAGGATATCCTTCTTTTATAATTAAACTTGCCCGAGGGAGGTAGAAGAGAGTAAAGGGGGAATAAAGGTGGTAGAAGGAGACTTGACTTGGGGTGATAAATACACAATACAATGTATAGATGATGTGTTATAGGCTTATACACCTAAAACCTACATAATTTTAGCCCTGGCCAGTGCAGCTCAGTTGGCTAGAGCATCGTCTATACACTAAAAGGTTGTGGGTTCTATTCCTGGTTAGGGCATGCACCTAGGTTGCAGGTTCAATCCCTGGTTGGGGTGTGTATGGGAGGCAACCGATCGATGTTCCTCTCTCGCATTGATGTTTAGCTCCCTCTCTCAAATCAATAAAAAATAGTTTAAAACCTATATAATTTTATTAACCAATGTTACCCCAATAAATTCAATAAAAAGTAAAAACACATACACATACAAAAGCAAAAACAAACCTTACCCTAAATAGTTAAGACACTGAAAGCAATGTCAGAGAGTCAATATGAGCCAGATTTCTCAAGATAGTATCTCAGAGATGAATCATGATATATTTGGAACAGAAAGATAGCTCACTTTCTCACCATTTTTCGGACTCTTACTTCTTTAACCACCAAATGAGCAATGACTTACTGGTAACCTAATTGGATATGGCAAAGATATAGCAGATTCTTAAGAGTAAAGAATTTTATCTTTCGATATCTGTTTGGATACTGACTACATTTCCTGAAACTCAAGTTCATCTGCAATTCAATGCTTCCTTGGAACAGAATCACCATAACTATGAAGATATTTATAGGAAAGAAAATCTTTGTACTTTATTTCTTTAAGACTTGGAAGACCTATTTTCTGAATTTCCATATATCTTTTCTCCAAACATTTAAGAGATTTGGGGAGTGACCTAATTGGTAGTTATATATTATAAAATGCAATTCTGATATGTACAGTTCTCACTACATGAGGAAATGTCTACTACAATGTTGTATACATGTGGATGCTGGGGTATGTGGATGCTGTACATTGGCTCCCATTCTCTCCTTTTTGTCATACACAGATAGGAAGAGAC